TAATAATAATAATAATAATAATAATAATAATAATAATAATAATAATATTAATAATAATAATAAAAATAAAAATAAAAATAAAAATAATAATAAAGTTATAATTAAACGTCGCGATTTGCACGATCACGATGAGAAAACAAAATATTGAACGGAATGCGCGAGCCAGTCCCGCTGAACTGCGTCGATTCGCGCACAGTATTTAAAGTAATACATAATATTATATTTCCCGTGGATTATTAGCGATGGAATTCGATTTTACATTTTCTTTGAGTTTTCGACAATTCTTAGGAACTAAAATTATTTATGATTTGTAACGCGCTTATCCCTACGCCCCTGTTTTCATTTCACAATACAGTCGAAAAGCTTTTTGTCTTACTGTCGAAGTTCCACGTACACAACGCGATACTTACGAATGTACTCGGATAAACATAAATCACACTCGCGCGCATACGTCGTGTTTAAATAAGTTCGTAACAGACGTACCTATGTAGTCGACTGCAGATAATTCGCAACAATAGTACGTTGGATACACAAGTATTTATGAAGAAAAAAAAATGGTGATGAGAAACAAAAAAGTACACAACTAAATAATCTAACGGGATTTTATCTAATGTCTTCTTTGGATAAATCTAAGTCTTCTTCAACTGTCGGACTGTCGTCCGTCATGGCCGGCACGATTTTCGTTTCCATGAGTACCGGGCCGCTACTAGACCGTCCCACACCGACCTGGCGGTCGTCGTACGTTAGCGGTATGTATCTCTTGGGACCCTCGTCCTGTTGAACGTTCACCACTTGTTCGGACGTCTTGTTGTCGTTGAACAAAAACCTAAGGAGCACATAGTCGATGAGTACATCATACGAGTGATAAGCGCGTATCGCTACACGACGTGATGCTCGCGGACAAGGATATACATTTTGGAGGATGCTCTGGCATCGCACGTGCACGGATCGAGGTCGAGAGCGTGGACCGGGCACCGTGCGTGGAACGAATTTTACGTTTTTCATAAAACACACTGGTATTCGGACAATGTTTGCGACGTTACATACCAATGACGACAAAATTTTACCAAAATCGAAATCACCTTTGCAACAGTAGAAATCTAATTTCGATTGATCGGCGATCGTCGACCCCTCGGGATATTGGATTCGTAAAACATTTGCACCCCCTCTACACAAAAAACACCGGAACGTTCGTGTTGTTATGCGACACTATTATGATACTGACCTTGGGAAATGTTTGAGCGCTCGTTGTGCCCGCTCCTTGGTTGGCCACATGAACGGCGAGAACGCCATGCGCGCGTACCTCTCGGCCTGCTCGATCATGTTCATCAGCTTTTGCGGCAACAGGTGAACGATGAATGACCTTTCGGCCGTGGCCGCAGACGCGTTACTGCCGTTCGCCTGAGACGACAGCGTACCGTTACTGGCCGCGGCCACGGCACTCCCGTCCGGCATCCGGTACATGCGAAACCGGCTCTTGGGCCGAAGCACCGGTTCGCGGATCTCGCCGGTCGTCCCGTTGACACCGCCCTTGGTCTGCTGCTGGTGCTCGTCGTATGGAAACTGATCCTCTTCTGTCGAGTCGTCGGCCGTCAGCGGCAACGGAGCCGCCACGGCAGCCTCGGCGCTCCCGGTAGCCGCGGTCTTGTTCCCGGGCCAGCCAGTCGCGCCGTTAGCCGTGAACCCGCGGCCCGACTGTTCGCGCCGGTCCGCCGTCGGGTCCAGGCTGTTGCCGGTCGGCTCGGCCACGATGTCCACCAACGGCATCCACGGCACGTTCATGTACTCCTTGATGCCCACGCCCAACGTGGCGCTGAACCCGGTCGAGCCGGCCGCCGCGGCCGATAGGTCACCCGGTACCCCGGAGTCCTGCGTTCCATCACCGCCACCGCCGACGAGTGAGTTGTTTATGTGCTGCTGGCCGTACTCCGGTTGCCCGTTATCGTGGTCCGTCTTGTCCCTGATGTCGCCGCTCTGCACGCGAAAAAACACATCATTATAACGCGCATTTCGTCGTTTTATCGGGTGTACGCAACGTGTCCGCGTAGTGCGTCTCGCGAGATACACGTTGGGTTCGGTTACTTAGATGTATACAGGCAACCATTTAGAAATACTTTGGGATAGTGAAAATTATTAAATTATATTAAAGAAACTCATACTTTAATTACTTTTTCGTGTTTCGTTAAAAACTTCGAGAATATTTTCTTCTATCAAAAATAGAAAAATTCAAAATTTTCGAAAATAATTAGATTTAAAAGCTTAAACCGAAACATTAAGGTGTTACTAAAATATTAATAATATTTTCAGTCCTTATCTTATCCCTGTGATTCATTTAAAAAAATAATAGTTTGATTATTTACGCTTTCTCAGGAGATATCGCGATTGGTATATATTCGCGGGACAATAAAATAATAACAAAAAGTTTTCCCGCTTGGGTTCAACCGGTGAATATTTAATAATATGTTTCATTTTGACCTTACGTACATGGGTCTTATCACTGTAACTACATAGTGTCGATGTTATTACATTGGTCGAATAGTGGTGATGAAATAAGTAGGGGGAGGATCATTTTATATGGTTTCGTCGAAGTTTTCAACTATTTATTAAATTATATGTACTTTTTTTACGTACAATATAGGTCAATCGTAATTTACTTGAAACAAAGTATGTATACAAGAGCTCTACGATTAATTGTTGAACCTCTATTATTTATTTGGTTTAAAATGAACATTTTTCAAGGAAATATACACTTCGTCTATAGTAAATTCGGACGGATTAATTGGAAAACATATTAACCCAACCGATGCGTGATATATAATTCCTTCCGAGTCTTATCCCCGTTTTGATGATTGGTTATTATTTAACTGTACACATAAATCACGTTTCCTTACGTTCAACTGCAATATCAGCTCCGGTAGGTTACAATCACCAGAATACAGTGGCAATACGACGGGAACTTCGGACTGCATGACCAGGCCCCTTTGACAAATCGATTGGCTAAAATAACGACAACTAATTTTAAAACAATTTAATTGGGCATCTGAGGTTAATTTCCTAGGAGTAAAACTGTATGGCAAAACACACGCATACACGCATACAAACTTAATATGAATCTATTGACTTGTTAGTTATGCATCATTACTACTCTTGACGGTTTAGAACTACATTGTGATTGTTGCACATAATTACTGCGTACACAACCCACGCCACTGCGCGTGTGTTATTAAAATCAGTGCGTTTAAAACGTTTTTTCTCTTAACATTGCCGGAAAGTTTCTAACCCCACGAGTAAAAGTAGTTACCTGTTGCCGTAGCTATCGATGAGTATGAACTTGTCGATGCTCCATTTGGACAGACCGTTAGACAGCCAGCCTTTGTACGCCGTGTACGTGATCTGTACCCGGTTAAATCCTTGCAACGCGGGATGGGGCACGATGATCTTCTTCATTGTCTCGCCCAACGACAGCGTCGCATCGTCTTTGCTGAAAATTACCACAATCGTCCGAACGTTTAGCGTGTTGTAAACATGAAACAGTACATTCTTATACGTCGTAGCAGTCTTATGTTTTTTATGTCGTCCGCTAGAACGGCATAGCCGAGGTTACGGTAAAGTTCGCCGAGGTACCAACAACACCCGTGTAATTATAACGCGTCGGTCGTGCGGTGGTTAAATCTAATAGAATGATGTGGATGTTTTTAATTTAATACTTACTTCGTGATGGTAAACGTTTCGTTAATATCAAGCTGACCGAAAAGGACGACTTGTATTTTTCCGTAGCTGACCACTGGCAACGCACTGGGAGAGTTATAGATTTTGACTATATACTGATGCGCTAAAATTTCGAAAAAATACAATATAAGAAATTTTTTTTAATTTTTTGTACTAGCCGAATTAAAAACATCGCTTATAATTCTGATATCCATCAGTATAAGCAATCTTTTTGCTATTCAAATATAATTTAATAATATTTTATTTTGATATAATCTACAAATATAGGTAGGTGATTGTTTTAAGTGTAACGTGTGATTGTTATTATAATCGCATAAACGTACAAAAATTATCCGATGAGGATAAAACAATATGTTATTATTTTATAATCCCACGTTTCCGTGTTTGTTTTATGTATTTTTTCGTGCATACATTATGTTGCATTATAAAAATTTTGTGAAACTGCGTAACGCTACTATAATATATGCATTTTAAAATATTGCACGCGTATTCTGACAGTGCAGCTGATTGTTGTAGTTTCACTAAAAATCGTGTTTACGATACAGATGCATGGTGCGATTTTTTGACCACCGCGTTCCTTTTTTGGTCACAACAAACTGAACCAAACATTTTACAGTCTTATTATTATCAAAAAGAATTATTGTAATAATAATATTGATCGTATCCACAATCAATCGTATTTACGTGCACGACTTCTGGTCTGGGACCTCACACGATCCAACGATGAGCCACACGAACGCGGCATAACACATCCGTGCCACTCGCAGTGCCGGATTTAACCATTGTGCCGTTTTAAGCACTAAACGAATTGCTGACTTTTAATTTAAATATCTTTTTAGTCTCAAAAATGTAATTAAAGCATACAATTATAGTTGTCTCCTTAATTAATTAAAATTTTAATGATGTAAAATAAAAATGTACAGTTGTTATAAAAATGCATACATACATTTATATGAACAACTTAATTTTAAAAATATGATATAAAATAAAATGATAAAAAAAAAAAAATGCTTAAATAGCTCATTTTTAAATTATATTCAAAATTTAATAATTAGTGCTTAGTGCCCATCGGCTTTAATAAAATAAAACATTTTATAATTAATTGGATTTATTTTAGTTATCTATAATAAAAATCTAATATTAAAAATTCATTTGCGCAATTAAAAAATTGCCGTCCTAAGCACTAGCTTATAGTGTTTACTGGAAAATACGGCACTGGCCACTCGGATGTCTATACGGTTATTATGACGACCGTGGTGATGATGACGATTGTTATGACTTCTCGAGACATATTACTTTAATAAAAAATATAACCACCGTTGTTGTCCTATTTAACCGCGGACGATGACTCTGTACATAAGTATACGGGATGTACGTATCAAGTCTCACTTTACTTAAGTACATACCATAGTGTCGACTATAAACATTATTAGATTCTCGACGCGTGTAATTCTTTACTCACACATGTATATACTCTCGTATATACTATCTTAACGGAGAGTGCAAAATACAGTGTATATCGAATTCGTTATGTAATTTACCACAAAACGGTTCCTCGTCTCTGGTCAACAGGTACATTTTACCGCGGGCCGGTGACTTGTCCGAGTGGTAGCCCATGTTACCGCACTTGGACTTGTCCTTGCACGGGAAACACTCGCCTTCCAGAAACTTCTCGTAAGATTCGCATGGCACGGCCGGGAATGCGCAACCCGGCGACACGCTGTCCGTGAAGAACTTGTATGCCCTACGGTGATTGCATAGGCTCCTGCCGTATACTTCGGGTGCGGCTGAAATTACGAGAACGGGAAATGATCAAACAACGTAGAATGGACATGTTATGTGCACGTAAAAAAATTTAGGTACAACGCAACACGCGCATTTTTATGAGGAGAAGGGAGGGAGATACGTATTGAGGATCGGATTCCCCAGGTTTCGGTGTGGTCTTAGAATAAGGAATTACACTGTTTCAAACAAAAATAAACAATTTTAGTGGAGTTGTGGGTTTTATTGAAATGTGTTTCGCATTTCGCATTATTGAACTACAACGAATAATTCTTACATCACTTACGATAATTCTTCTTAATCTACATCGTGATCATCGAACTACAATGGCAATACTTATTAAACGAAAACGACGAATGCTACCGAGTGTTGAATTTTTTATACAAATTTAAAAATGTCACTGAATTCGTAAAACTTCGCTATAACAGACTTCATGGAAAACTTAAATCGAGAACAAATTTTTTCGTTCAAAACATAGTCACAGCATATACAACTGATAACCCTTCTCGCAGTCCTAAACAAAATTGAAATCGTGATTAAGTGTAAGTTGTAAGTCGATATAATTAATGTTCAGAGGTGTTATTGGGTAAATTCCTCGAAATACTTTTTTATGTAATGTATATAGATACATCCTAATAGCTAAATGTGCAAAGGAACGAAGAAATTGTTTCGTATTTAACAAAAAAAAAAAAGTTTTGTATTAATTAGTTGCTGTAAAAATATTTTGTATAATAAATTATAATCCAAAAGCTAATATAATTTTAATTTCACAGAAATCAAATAATAAAAATTGTAACTTCATTATTTGATTCATTATCCCGAAGTAAGTTTAAGAAGGGATAAACCATCTTCTCGGTTATCTACAATAGTTATCGTTTTATATCATCGTTGATTATTTCACATAGACTAATCGACGAAAAATATAATTTTTAAAAACATTCAAAATCCTATAGTACACCGAACGTTTAAGCGCATTTAAGTTTCGTTTAAACACATAAAATTATATGGATAAATTTTGTAAGCTGTAACTTAGTATAAATATCGACAAATAAATAATAATACGCAAATGTGTACGAGTGAATTACGTAAGATCGAGAATATTTCGAGATGTTCTCGTATAAATACCATACACAAATTATGCGTGATGAAGGACTTGTATTTTTTATAACCGTGTTCAAAATATTTTGGACGGGTTATATTGGTTGTAACTGTAAGAGCTATTATACTATAATATCACGTTTAGGTAACATTATATACTTACTAGGTTTAATCGATTATTGAATTTGGAAAAAAATAACATAAGTGATTTTCATATCGCCGGAACGTGATGATACTGTTCAGTGATCAGGATGATAGTATAATACAATTTATAGCGTAAACACAAATCGAGAATAATGTTTAGTATTCACGCGAATGAGATAGCCACATAACAGAAAAATTCAAAGTGCCTATTACTCAATGCATACGTGTTGCGCAAAAAGTTAAAATTATTGTAATGATCCGTCATATAAAACACAAGTTCGCAACGCGTAAAAACGAGGTTTAGCAGGGTGAGCTATTGTTCCGATGACGTAGTACTTACTCTCAACATTATTATACTCGATCAGGCCAATGCATTTTTTTAAATAAACATTTACCAATTTACTAATATTAAAATGTATTAAGAACTGTACGATGTTTATAGTGTTTACGTTTATGGAACTATATAGTTCATGTTATTTTTGACAAATCGTTTTTCATAAGAAAAATGAAATGTAAGTTATAAATATAAAATTATAGTCGTATTAGTTTCGTCCGTCCATCGATTTAATCCGTTGCGGTCGACGGCGTGTTACACATTTTAGTGTTTACCATGGTAAGCGAATCGGACACTATTGCAACGCATATTGGACAATTTCGTAAGTTTACGGTATTTTAGTGGTATTTTCTTCATATCTATATATTTATTCGATGAGGAACACGGTATATACATAGGTAAACGAACCGGTTTCTGACAATCAACCCCAAAAACACGGGTTAAATACTTATATTGTGCAATAATAATTTTACGTTTTAGGTATTTCGTTTCGAGGAATGTAACCCTTCGGAGTAAATATACACCCAAATAATAATCCGTCTCGATATCCACACGCGTATTGTACTGCGTGATGTACATATAAACACCGAAATAACAATAATATAATCGAATGCGATTTCCATTAGACGTATTATGTGCGTAAAGGTCGAACAATTCCATGGGAATATCCGAACCGAACCGAACCGAATAGAAAATGTCCGTTTCATGTGGATTAACACAATTTCATATTAGATCCGTGTACAAACTTCATACTATAAATCAATGGTGGTGTATGAATAATATCTAAAATATTTCGAGGAATATTCATCTTCTATTCCAAACTAAAATCGGGTAGAACACGATTGCGTATGAAATTGTATACAACGTTGTCAAATTTACTAATTTCACCATATTATATCTATAAATATCTTAAATATAGAATACATACATACAACAGTTCTATAAAAGTTCATAAAAAAAATTAATAATAAAATAATAAATAAAATGAGGATAATTAAATAAAAGAAAAATAATTAATAAATAAATAAAATCGACAGTCGTTATTTGAATGAAATTATTTATTTATTTATTTAAATAAATTATTTGAAAATGCTTAAATTTGGATTCCTTGACATCTATAATCTACTACTTTTACTAAAACTCGGAAAATACCGTATAATATAACGGAAATAACGAAATTTCGTTATATATCATATATTTTATATCATTAACAATAAACATAGGTAATGAAAGCAATAAAACACAAAGTATTAATTAATTTTTTCTAAGATCTCTCGTATAGGTATGTGGTACAAACCAATATTAGTATGAAAATTGGCATCAACATTTAAAACTTCGTACGCAATCGTGTAGTTAAAAATCAGGTAAAATCGTACAGAATCGTGTAGCTTAAAAAGGTATCGCCGAAAACGAACGTACGCAATCGTATTTTACCCTTAAAATCAATGTCATCTAGTAATACTGGTATTTATAGTATTTATTTATTTCACACTGTACACTGTCAACTACTGACTCTGATTTATCTCTAAAACTAACAGAATCCGATGAGCCGCGGACCCCAAAAAGGTAATATAATCTAATGAATACGTCACATGGCATTTATGGAAATAATGAAAAACACATGAGTCGATCTGTCTCGTTGTGGATAACTCTGTGTATAATACTCACACCAGATAATGTCGGTGACGGCACCGACAAACAGGTTGGAGCAACCTTTCTGCATGCGCCCGCCGTTGGGATAGTAGTCCACGTGACCCATAGGCTGCCAGGCACCAAGCCCGCCCAGGATGAGGTTTTCGCCGTTCGAGTGAATCACGTCCACGAACTTGGCGTCCGTTGAGTCCAACCGCGTCTTGGGGTCCTGGTTCTCGAACAGCGGCCCGGCCGGGTCCAGCCCCGTGATCCTGCTGAGGTTCTTAAGCTCGGCTCCGGCGTAACCGGCTGCGTGAGCGCCCAGACTGAAGCCGATCAAGTGCACGTTCTCCACGGGCAGGTTGGCTTTGGCCGCCAGACCCAGAATGAGCATAGCTACCTGTTTGCCGACCAGCCTGGTGTTAGCCGCTGCTCGTACATAGTTGGGTATGATAGCGCCTGCCTCCCAGTCCACGCAAATGACGTTGCAATCGACCTGGAACATACGGCAGAACACCACACGGTAAGACACGCATGAGGAGTAACAAATATTTAGAGAGTAACTTTCTATGTTAATTGCATATAAAGAGTGTCACAAGAGGATATGAACATTGATAGGTTAGGTTATGTTCACATTTTCGCAAGACAACCTGTATAACAACGTATACAACATCCATAGAATTGTAGCGTGCCAACAGTTATTCGACGGTATCACAAAAATGTCAAGTTACTAAGTGTTTAAGATTTTAGGATAAGTTCAATAAAAGTACATGTAAGACTGTGTTGTCGGTAATTTAACAAATCACTTAGAAAAATCAACGAAGTTCAATTATAATAATAACAAATATAAGCGGAGCGTATATACTGCTGAATACGTCTGAATTCGGTGTTGATTCAGAGCCCTTTTATATGTTGATATGTGATCTCTTTTTGGTGCGCTCCTTATGCAATACGTGTCTTTAATTGATCATAATTTTTTATTGTTATTATTTGTTAAAATTTATATTAATTCTATTTCATTGTATTATACAAAACGTACGCATATTTTTAATCGTCCTAAATTGAAAGTATACAATTTTTTTCCAGATTTCGCTTAGACGTTTACACTATGTGTTTTTAGTAATTAATTTAATTAATTAAAAAAAAAATACAAAAAACTAGGTTATTTTCATATAATGAAATATAATAAATTCTATGTTTAGTAGTCTAGTAATATATGGCATATTACAGAATACTACCCAGAGAAGTAATCAATGCAACTCGTCAACGGGTTTTTTCTGCGACCGCATACCACGCACCGAATTAAAAAAACAAAAAACCTGACCAAATTGTACATAATATACGACGAACTCATCAGTGGCGTATTTACGGGGGGGGGTCCAAGGAGTCCGGACCCCCCCCCCCTTGACTCGTG